AAGTGCCCGCGAGAGCCTTGAGGACCTTGGTGCATCTGCTCACTTTGCTTGCTATACAACATAGTCTACACCCACGGCAACATTTTATGAAAACTATTTGCCATCTTCTGAATGGCGTAGATGATTTTCCTTATTCGGGAAGCATCCAGGCCATAAACTAGAAACCTTAAACGCAAAGGGCAGATCGGGCTTAGAAAACATTTCTAAACGTAAATATCCTCTTCTTTTGAGAATAAAGTATAAAGGAGGCATGATTTGCTATCAAACGAGGACAAAAAGCAACCATTTGCATAGTTTACTATAAAATGTTTAAACTTTTGAAGGCACCAAAAAATCAATATGATAAATGTGCAAGACTTAAGCAGTCATTTTTTGCCCAGTGCGGTTTTTGATGAACAAGCATGCATTCACAAGCGAGCATCTTGGTCTGTCAGAAATATTGTCGCAGTGGGTTGCACGGTAGTTAATATTACAATTTCACTTTAAGTAAACCTAAATAATCATAAATGCGTATAAGAATTTCAGTTAACTTTGCACGAGAGAGTTCACTGAGTGTAACAATGAAAGTTTTCTGCCGTTGGATAGAAAGGACTGGATATGAAAACCGAAAAGCAATAAGCGGTGATCCAAAAATGCAATAATCTGTACTAAAACTCATTAGCGGGGATTGCCTCCTTATAACAGACGATGGAAGAAGAACAGCCACAACAGTTACTAACCGTATTTAACCTGACAGACGTCACCGACGAGGATGTCAGACACAGGCAGCTGTTCCAATTGACCATTTCGGATGACTGCGAACTTATGGTCTGATTCAATCTTGTTCTGAAGGCCACGGAATTGACGTTCTTTGGACCAGTCGTTGAAGGCCACCACAAGGACAACCACACAAACAGCGCCCAGAATAGCGACGCCTTCAATCCAGCCGGCTTCGCTTTCAGTTTCGTCCCCAGCGGCCTCAGCATCCACATCTAAGTGGAGAAAAAAAAACATGAAGTCGAGGACTCTGGACAAAAGATAAAATTCGCGAATAAACATCAACAGGAACGATAGAAACAGATAAAGAAAAAAACACAAATATAAAGTAGCCGAAGGCGGGTTTAAGACCGTATCCACAGACCTAAGAAGAAGGAGGCTGAAAAACAAACCAAACACGTGATGCAAATAGTTTCAAAAAACACCAAAGCGTACAGTAATAATGCGCAGCGTTGCATACACAGCAAGGAAAACGATGGGCATATTTAGCCACCACAGTCGTAAAACGTGCAGCCTAATACAACAAGTAGGGTCACAACCCTGTAAGGACCCGAAAGTCGAAACAGTTCAAGCGCCAGGTTTCTCTCGGTCGACTACCACGCATCCTGCAACAGAATGCAAATATTTCCGTTACATGCCAAAACTAAGCGTGCAGCAGTGGCAGCGGCACCAGCAAGTTCGCGCTTATGTACTTGCTACTGCGACCTGGAAATGCTACCAAAGGGACTGTTGTCAGCCAAGAGGAATAAGCACAAACTTTATATATATATTTAGTACTAAAAGGAAGGGATTGAGTTAGACGTTGAGACGATACTTAAGTGGTGACGGCAGTTTCGGCGGCAGCGAATAGACCGCAAAGGAAAGCATAAACTTGGATTCTGGCTATTCTGACCAAAATGCTTGTTACTGCTATCCAGAAACGTGGGTGGCCTAGATACCAGTTTATTCGATAAAATGGTTAAGCCTAACTAACCAGTGAAAGCCCGACCTTCCAGCAGCCCAACTGATTAATGTTCAAAGTGGATTACGAAAAACGTCTTGATGAGTCCCTAGCGTGACAATTTTTAATAACGGTGTACGAAATAATGATAATTAATATCTACAAGAGTGTAAAATAATTGATGTTTAAATAGAGAGCTAAAATAAGGCTGTAGAGTGAAGCAAATTCGTTGGACAGTTCTGAGCGAAAATGGTGTCCTATAGATAAAATTCCGTAGCCAAAAATTTAATCCGAATTCCCGGATGGACCAACCGGAAGTAGGAATTTAGCGTCTCACTCACGGCTCGTTAAACGTGACGGAGGCAACATCTAACTCTAACTGATGAAACATGCCGGGACATACAATGAGAGTTCAAAGCAGCTAGTGTTGACAGAAATTCGGTTCCTTCTATCCAGACTCTATTCATTGTTGACACAAACATAGGAAAAGTGGAACAGTAGTTATGACTGCTTGAGATTAAAGATTGTTTCCAATCGATGGTAAACTCAGCATGTAGGTCAAGTTGTGAAAAAGCTATGGTCTATCAAACACCAGTAATGGTAAGGGCAGTTGGGAGTAAGACAAGTATCAGAAAGTGTTGCAAAATATTGGCGAAATGACTACACCTAGTTGCTATATCCAGCAAGAGTAGCGTTGTGAATCAAGTAATACGGGAAAAGTTTTCACTTTTGCACACATAGGAGGGTAAAATGATGTAGGGACAGTAAAAAGCTTAAAGTAGTCAAACAGCTGGAACAGATAGGCGACAACTATGAAGCAAATGAAAAATGAGATTCGAAAGGACGCAGGAACAGAGGAAAATAAAAGAAAAGGAGGCGAGAGACAAAATTGCAAATGCTTAATAAGAACCATCGCCGTGTTAGCAGGCGATAATGGTGAACCATCTAACTGCAAGGCTACGAAAAAGAGCAATGTTATCGTACCAAAAATGCTGATACAAAAACTTCCCACGTCATTCATAAGACAATTCAGGAAAAAGGTGGAAGCCTTCCTATTCCTCACCTACGTATGGCATTCCCAGCCGAACTTACGAAATAGCATGTCACTGTCCCTTCCGAGGTGCAAGGAGGCCGTGAGACTATTAATGGTTCACCCTGGGAAGGATAACTCGTAGGTTCGCCATTCGATTCGAATAAAGCACGGAATTGTCGTGATTAAGTTCTACT